CTGGATGTTAGGTGGAGGTAGTGCAGGTGCAGAGTGGCGCGGTGGGCGACCAAGAGGAACAATTGCAGACTCTGCTGCTTCTTGTTCTTCTTCCCCCCTTTGGTCCTCGCGGAAAGCTCCCCAGCCGCTTGTTTCGCCGCCAAATGCGGCTCCCCATCCGCCGGTGTTGCCGACGGTGACTGTTCCCTAGTCACCGGTGTCACTTGTGCTCCATCCTCCAGCGCTTCCCTACCCCCCTTCATTGGAGGCGCTCTCCTCTCCTTCTTCCTAGGTAAGTGTTCCGCACGACTTGGCGAGGCTTTTCTGACGAAGATCCTCCGCTTCGCGGCGCGCCAATTCGTCTTCTTGCGATATGGTAAGAGTCTTCGTAGAATCGTGTCGGTGAGCGTAGATCTCGAGGAATTTATCCTGCGTGTAGGGTCGAAGGTTTCCGTCTGCATCGAAGGTGCTGACACCAACGCCGCGCAGCATTCCCCAAAGGTGTTGTGATGCGGGTCTGGGGAGGGGATGTTTTGGCGTGCCGAAGATGACCCGCGTGGCAGTCTCCGACTCTTGTTGGGATAATCCTTCCTCAGGCGATGCTTCCCTCTCTGCTTCCGCGATGGCGGCGAGTCGTCGGCCGGAAATCGCGCTCGTTGACGCCGTGGGTGTGAGGAAATATCTGCAGATGCCGTCGGGATCAGGATCATGCAGCGCCAGCTCTCGCGGATGTGGATAATGCGGCACGCATGGTCTTCCATCTGGGTGCTTCCAGTCACGGCGATGGATATGTTCGAAGCGCAGGGGAACGAGTTCGATGAGTTCCTGTGAGTTGCCGCTGCAGTCAGGAATGTCAAAGTCAAGGACATAGACTCCGTTCTCAGAGTGCGCTCGCTCGATCTGCCTGCGTGTCTTGTTCGGGCGTGAAGTGAAGCACAATGTTGCGCATCCTGGGGTCGGTGCAAAGATAAACTCCGCAATCCATGAGTTGCGCCGCCGAGAGGAGATTAAAGCGCAGGTTCTGTACGATCAACACATCATTCAGTGTGATTTGCGTTCTGCTCCCATGTGCCTTGAGCACAATGATGCCTTGCGCACAGGCTCGTGTTGTTCGCCACGGTGACGTAGGTGACGGCGGGGGTGGCGACGGCGCTGGATATGTAACGCTCGGAACCCACCATATGTTGCCCACATCAAGTGTCAAGGTACCACGTGTTGTAGCGCCTATTGTCGTTACGTGCGAGCAACGCCAGTCGCGGGGTAACGATGTGCGGTGTGTCGACCTTGAGGAATTGTTCGTGCGCGATCCAATCGATCGGTGCCGGCCGCATATCAAGGACGTGCAGAGGGCTCTTAAGCAGCGGGACTGGAAGGTTCGGATCTTGTTTGTCATCATTGCTGAAGTCCTGACGCATGCTGGACGGGTTGCTGTTCGAGAACGCTCCGATTGGTTGAGGTGCTGGCTTAGGTGACGGTGAGCGAACGCGAGGACGACGCGATCCGCTTGTTATTGTCATGTTTCCCATGACATTGCGGATGAGAGCAGACTGTGGCTACTGGTGATGGTGCTGAACCATCGGATTCAGGTTGCGCGAAGGGGGTTGATGCCCCTAGGCTGGACGCGAGTTGTTCCGTGCGTCTTGTCGGCCGGACCAAGTGCTCGGGTTGGTCTGGCGAGGGCGAGATCGGGATTTGCATCGATCTGCCCGAAGTTTCTGCAGATTTTGCAGTAGAGGCGCCGCGGCCGTCGCTCTTCAGTTGTGTCGGTGTATAAGGCGAGGCATTCTCTGTCTCGTTGCGACGCTGGTCGCTGCTGGTCCATATCCCGTTGTTCGACAAGGAGGGCGGCGCATAGGGCGGCCTCCGAGATAACCCCCTGCTGTCGGAGAAGCGCCTTCCAGGGCCGCCACTCTAGGCCGAGCCCTTGAAGCACGATGTTCACGAAGATTTCTTCGGAAATTGTTGCTTCCTAAGTTCGCAATTTGATCGCGGAGGCTCTGACAGCGATTGATGTAGCCGTTGAACTTCTCCCTAGTGGCCATTTTTGTCTCTAGTAGTTGCTGGAGCAAGCGGCTCGAAGAAACCGAATCCTTCGGTTGAAAGACTCCGTTTAGGTGGCGCCACGCGTCGAGGGCTAGGGCAGATGTTGTCTTGTATGAACGGATGTTCAGCTGCTCCGCCGGCGACATGTTGCGCAGTAAGACGCCGTACGCCATCATGGACTCGTTGAAGTACTTTGCCCTAGCGTCGTCGGTGTCTTCAGTAGGTCCCGAGTAGCTCACGTTAAAATAATGGAAAATCTGTGCGTTTTGCAGCACCATCTCCAGCTCGAAGCTCCAGGTATAGAAATCTCTGCCATCAAAGCACACATATGTCTTTATTTTTTATATGCTCAAAAACCTTGATTGCGCGGAGAGAATCGCTTCTTCCCTGGGACGGGGAGTCTTGGGTGTTGAGCCATTTGTGTCGAGGGAGAAAGTGTGCGGGGCGGAATTTTAGCCATTCGAGGCTGGTTGAGAGGGTTGAGAAGATGTTCCCACATCGCCATTCAGCAATGTTTGGAGTCCTTGCTCCAAGCTGGTGAGTCGCTGAAGCAGTTGTGCGAGAACGGCGGAAGGAATCGTCGTCGTTTCCTCGCTTGTCGCACCCGGGTTGGGTTGCGCTTGAGCCGTCAGATTCGTCTGACCACCAGATCCTCTGGCCATTCTTACACGCGAGCGTGTGCCGGACGCCACTTTTCAATCGCCGAAAGGTTCAGAGGTGGCAGTGCGAAGGATTCCAAGGTCACTCTCATACCATGTTGCGATCACAAGTTGATCGTAGCCGGGATCACTTCAGGAAGGTCCGCACACTACTGTTTCAGTGGTGGTGGGCCCTTGACCTCAATAGCAGAGTGAATGTAAATGCATAAGATAATAAAAACATGCAAATACAACACTAAAAATAAGAGTACAGGGGAATACCAGTCGACCTAGCTAGCCATGTACTCTAAGGGGTACATTCCCTTATTACATCGAATTCCAACCGTGCAACTCCAGATAGTTACGAAACTGTACGGGCAGAATCCTCGCCACTGCTGCTGCCTGATGCTGTCTACCCGACGGTCCAGATGCTTTCGTAACCATGCGACCCTTCGCGTCACTTTCGCCCTTTCGTATTCAACCTCGGTAGTGCGTGCTTCGCTTGCTGCGGTGAGGAGTGCACGGTAATGTTTCAATAATTACTATTCGTAGTAATGCTCTTCGCTATTTCGCGTAAACCCCTTCGACGACGTTCACATGTTTGAACATGTAGCGATGCGACTTGAAATCTGTAATTTGTAGATTTTGTCCGCCAATCTTGTGCAATGACATTCGGATGGTGCGAATGTTTTTCGAACTGTCTGCTTCTGACATTTCGAACGGTTGAAGTCAGGAAAAAGTGTCGCAAAGGTACAAGCGAACACCCTAACGAGAAAATGCGACGATGGTGACTCTTCTCTAACTGGACGGTCCACAATTCGGACCGTTCGGGCCAAAAAGTGGCAAAATGGTTACACGCCCTTAGGGCGTGTGCGATTTTTTTCTAGGTTCTAAAAACATGTGGAACTTTGTCTGGTTACCTGCTTCGTTTATTTTGCTAAAATTGTGTGACAAAAGACTTTTCCTTCGAACACATGGCAAATGCGACCTAACGTTTCCGAAATCGACTCGAGTCGATGCATAAATGTGGGGGCGTACAGTGAACCAAATGTGTGTTGTTTTGCGCACGTACGACAAGTGGCGAATTTTGCGAAAACTTCGTGACGCAATAAAACATTCGCCGAAAACCACAGTCAGTATGTTGACGTGGCACGATGCCTACAAAATTATCCCAGCTAACCTACATCACCTACGAGTGGCTCGGCGCATCCCCAATAAAGTCAAACTATTACATTGTTGTCTAGGCTATAGTGGGGTAGCCCAGATGGGGTACAACCCAAATTAGGGTTAGTACTTGTATCACTTTCTTACTCAATGCAATCATCCCTGCTCATTAGTTTCTGACATGGTTTCAGAGCAGTAGGTCCTTAGGACTGTTTTTTTTCGGGCCCACCATTAGCTAATGACCGATTGCGGTTACCGCGCTACCCCACGCCCTGCCCTGCGTCGCACCGCCCGCGCATGCCCTGCCCTGCCCTGCCTTGCATCACGCTGCCCGTGCACGCCCTGCCCCGCGCGCGCCCTGCCTTGCGTCGAGCCGCCAGCGCGCACCCTGCCCTACCCTGCGTTGCGCCGCCCCACGCACGCCCTGCCCTGCGTCGCTCTGCCCGTGCACGCCCTGCCCTGCCCTGCGTCGCGCCGCCCCGCGCACGCCCTGCCCAGCGTCACGCCACCTGCGTGCTGCCCCTTACAGCCTGCGCGGCGCCTGTCTGCAGCCCGCGCACTGCCCGTCTGCAGCCCGGACGCCGCCCTGCTGGCAGCGCACTGCCCTTTGCAGCCCGCGCGCTGTCACAGCATATGCACCTAATGCATATGCCATAACAGTAGGGTGAGGGTATTGGCAGGGCTCTAGGTTGCTAGCACATGAAGAAGAGCTGGATATAATAAGATAGAATAAAAATAGGTTGAAGGAGTAGAATGTGTAGAATGTAGCGAGGTGACTGTTTAGAATGGGGTGTAGAAGGGGGGAAACGGGATAAGAGCGGTTGGGATAAAAAGGGGGAAAAGACACCGAAGGGTGAAATGCGAAACCAGTCCATCCCAAACTAGTGAAAGTTGCTATCTTCGCTCTAGCACACTGAGGCACGTCACTAAGAGGGAACCAACGGGGTGAGGGACTAAGCTCTTTCATTAAAATTGCAAAAGGAAGCAGTAATGAGCAGAGTAGGTATGGATAAGTATGAATTGCGTTGGGGTAGGATGTTCAGCCGCCGGGAGGAGGAACGGCCGCGACGCGAGCAATCACGTGAACGAGGGCGGTCATTGGAGCGATCGCCGCGCCGCCCGGCCTTTCGCGCGGATCAAATCCCTCTCGCACGGGACCGTCGAGAAGAAGGATCGATGGGCATGGGAGTAGGCGACGACGGGCACGGCGGCGGCATGGATAGAGACGCGTGGCTGCAAGAGAGAGCACACGGACCTGGCAAGGACCGTGGAACCCGCCGCGACGCCGGAGTGTTCCGCTCTCCAAAAGAGCGAGAGCGGCACCGGGATGAGAGAGGCCGTTGCCGAGGTTTCGGGGAACGTCCCCGGGAACGGGGAGGAGGCATGGGTGGCGACGACCAAGTGGGGATCCTGCAAGAGAACGCAACACAGGACGTGGCAGCGGAGCGAGGCGTGGAAGAAGATGAGGAGCACCCGGGGCTGCAGGTCAAGGAGGCCGATGAAGGAAATGACGGCGACGACCAGGCAGTGGGAACGGGTGAGGCTGAACTCGCGCAGGCAGATGAGAGCGCTGGCGCGAGCCAGGCGGCAGCCGAAGAATTGAGGGCCGCGCCGCAAGAAGCGCGCACCGAGACGTCAGCCGTGGGGAAGAGCAGCACGCGGAGGGCTCATTGAGCCAGGAGCGAGTGACGCCAGACGACGACGTTCGAGCTGCACTGGCGTAGAGGCTTCATGGCAAGGGGAAGGCAGAGCGGTCGCGCACGCCGGAGAAGGATCCGCACCATGGAGAATGGCGCGTAGGCGACTTCCGCCCGTATGGAAGGCGACAGGAGTAGGACGGCTGGAGCAACGGCGCAGTGCGTTCGCCAGAACAGCAGCGAGCACGCGGTGGCAGAAGGAAGGATGACTCGCGCTCACCTGAGTCGCACGGGCGCCAGGAAGGAAGGCACGGGGAGGAGTGGGGGTCACAGGAGCGCCACGGTCAGCAGCACGGGGAACGCAGTGGCTGTCAAACACTATATATGTGTTATTGCTGTGTAGGCTATAGTGGGTTAGCCTTTAGGGGGTACACAACTTTAGGGTTTCATACTTGTACTGCAATGTTGTGTAGTTCAATCACTTCTTGTTTCTGACATGTTATTAAGAGCTTAGGTTCTAGACCTAAGGGCCCACCGTTCCACTAGAGGTGCCCTCGTGCGCCCTTTTTTTAGCGCCCTCATGCGCCTTTCCCCTAGTGCGCCCTCGTGCGCTCTCCTCTCACGCTGCCCGTGTGCAGCCCGCTAGCAGCCCGAGCGTGGCCCCGCCATTTTAGCGCACGTAAGAAAACCGCCGCCTAGGGCGGCCCGATTTTTCTCACGCGCCCCAGCAAGCCGCGGCCCATAGGCCCCTGCTAGCCCCTAGGCCGACGCGCAACCCACAGCCACCCGCCCTCAGGTCGCAGCCAGCGCGCCGCGACGATCGCGAGTCGGCTGCTGCAGCGCGCGACACACAGCCGCCGCTAGAACGCAGCCGCGGCGTGCGCGCAGCTGCACCGTAGGCGGCGCCGCGCACCCAGCCTAGGCCCGCCGTCGCGCCGCCTTATCGCGCCGCCCTGACCGAGCCGCGCCACCCTGACCGAGCCGCGCCGCCCTACCTGCTGCAACTGCTCTTCCTGCTCCTACTGCTCCTATTGTTTCTACTGCTACTGCTACTCCTGCTACTGCCACTATGGCCAGTCCCACTGTTCTCACCTTTGACGCTGAGGGCCGCCCGATTAAGTTCGATGTCTGGCTTGATGACCTCCACCTGTTCCTCCAGATCACTGCCAAGGACGATGTCTCCCTGTACGACCACACGTCAGGCGCTGCTCCCGCACCTCCCGCTACTGCTGACAGTACTGCTCGCTCCCAGTGGCAGACTCATGATGCTCACCCCGCCTAGCCGTCCGCAGCCACCTGCCGGTAGATGAGCGCGAACACTTCGGCCAGCATAAGACCGCTAAGGAGCTGTACGACGCAGTAGTCGCGCGCTACTCCTCCCCTGCCACTGCTGCTATAGGCCGTCTCTCGCTGCCCTACCTCTTCCCCGACCTGTCCGCCTTTACCACTGTAGCTGACCTCATCACCCACCTCCGTACCATTGACCTCCGCTACCGTGCCGCACTCCCCCCAGATTTCCTCGCCAAGAACCCTCCCCCGATGTACCTCACACTGTACCACCTTGTCACGCGCCTTCCTGACTCCCTTCACACAGTCAGGGACCATTTTCTCGCCCTCTCCCCCAGTGACCTCACTGTCGACCTCCTCGAGAAGGAGCTCCTAGCAGCTGAGAAGAGCATTGTAGCTGTAGGTGCCTCTCGTGGTGTCCCTCGCACCCCCTTCTTTGAGGGGTGCTCCCCCTCCCCCCTCCTCCCTTCCATTTCCTCTGCTGCTGCTGTCGACTTTCTCGGAGCTGAGGGGGTCGGGGCTGCGTCTGCTCCTAGTGGGAGGCGCAAGGGCGGTAGGGGCAAGGGGGGCAGGGGTGGTGGCGGTGGGGGTGGGGGCGGCGGCGGTGGAGGGGGTGGAGGGGGCGGGGATGGTGGCGGAGGTGGGAGTGGCGCGGGTGGTGGGGGGGTCGGTGGCGGCACAGGGGGTGGTGTCGGCGGCGGTGGTGGAAGTGGTGGGGGTGGTGGTGGCAGTGGTGGCGGCGGTGGAGCGGGTGGCGGGCGCGGTGGAGCGGTACAGCGTGGGGGGTTCGGCGGTGGCCAGAGGCAGCAGCAGCAGCGTCCCGGTGAGACTCCCTCGCCCCAGCAGCTCCGTGAGTGGTACTCTCAGCGTGGGGGGTCTGGGGGTGGGGGTACTTGCCCGTACGTCATCCGCACAGGTGACCACACTTGCCAGACTTGTGGGAGGTTTCACACGGCACAGCGCTGCTTCTTTCGCCTCGACGACACCTGGCGCGAGCAGTTCCCTGACGCCTCTGAGCTGCCCCGCTGGGCTGATCTGCTTCAGAAAGGAATTGATATCTTTGCTCTTGATTATGATGCTATCCTTGCTGCTATGTATGCATTGACTATTAGTGTTGAGGGTGACTGTTACCTGAGTGTACCGCCCGACCCAGGTATTGAGAACGGTGAGGCTGCAGCTCTAGGTGCTAGTGCGTCTGCTGCTCCAGGTCCTGGTGAGGCTGCTGCCCTAGGTGCTAGTGCGTATACGTCTGCTGGTACCGCACCTACTGAGGCACTTCACACCTTCACACTGGACTCAGGTGCTTCCCGCTGTTTCTTTCGCGACCGCACTGCCCTAGAGCAGCTCCCTAGACCGGTTGCTGTCTCCCTGGCTGACCCCTCAGGGGGTCCGGTCCTTGCAACCTCCACCACTGCCCTCCTGCTGTCCCGTGTGGCACGCTGTCGGGCCTCTACCTCCCCTCGTTCTCTACGAACTTGGTGGCGGGTTCTGCGCTCCAGGACGCGGGTGTTCACCAGTTCACCCCGGCCTACAAGCGTGTGACGCACTGCACGTGTGCCCGGACGGGTCGTCACCTGGCTACCTTCACTCGGCAGCTGGGGTTGGACTTGTACACACTGACCACTGAGTCCCCTCAGGTAGTTGCGTCTGCATCTACGTCAGGTCAGCTGTCGGCCCCCTGCTCGTGTCGCTCCCTGTTGCACAGGACTGTCCTCTGGCACCACCGCCTTGGTCACCCGTCAATGCAGCGCCTTTGCGGCATGCACTCCACGTACCTTGTCTCTGGTCTTCCTAGAGTTCTCCCTCCTCTACCACCCTCGCCTGCTCCTCCCTGTCTTCCCTGTGTCGAGGGGCGGCAGCGCGCCGCTCCTCACCCCTCCTCGTTCCCTCCCACAGAGGCTCCCCTGCAGACTCTCCACCTGGACGTGTGGGGCCCAGCCCGCGTCCGGGGACAGGGCCACGAGCGGTACTTTCTGCTGGTCGTCGACGACTACACGCGCTACACCATGGTCTTCCCCTTGCGTACCAAGGGTGAGGCCCCTGATGTCTTGATCCCCTGGATCCGCGCTGCTCGTCTCAAGCTCCGCTAGCGGTTCCAGTCGGACTTTCCTGTCCTCCGTCTGCACTCTGACAGAGGTGGCGAGTTTTCCTCTGACCTCTTGGCAGCCTACTGTGCGGAGCACGGCATCCGCCAGACGTTCACTCTCCCGGCCTGTCCGCAGCAGAATGGGGTTGCTGAGCGCCGCATTGGTCTTGTCATGGAGGTCGCTCGTACCTCCATGATCCATGCGGCTGCCCCCCACTTCCTATGGCCGTTTGCAGTGCAGTACACTACGCATCAGCTCAACCTCTGGCCCCGTGTCTCCGTTCCGGAGACCTTGCCTACCCTGCGTTGGACGGGGGAGGTTGGCGACGCGTCGGTGTTCTGAGTCTTGGGATGTCGAGCCTTTGTCCGCGATACGTCCGCGGACAAACTCTCCTCTAGTGCCGTTCCCTGTGTCTTCCTGGGCTTTGTCCCATACGCGCCTGGTTGGCGGTTTTACCACCCCACCTCGCGCCATGTCTTCGCCTCTCAGGACGTCACCTTCGACGAGTCGGTACCCTTTTACTGTCTCTTCCCCTACCGCACTGCCCCGCTCCCCCCCCCGCCGCTCTTCCTCACCCCAGGTGTCCCGTCGGTAGACCCCCTCCCTCCCCAAGGTGCTGCTCCCTCCGGTGTTTCCCAGGTAGACCCGGTCAAGCCTGTCGAGGTAGCTGTTGACTCTGGTCCTGCGCGAGGTACTGCGTGTGCTGAGCCTGGTGGTGCTGGGTCTGGGGGGACTGAGACTGGGGGTGCTGAGCCTGTGGGTGCGGAGACTGGGGGTGCTGAGCCTGGGGGTGCGGAGACTTTGGGTGCTGAGCCTGGGGGTGCTGCGACTGGGGGTGCTGAGCCTGGGGGTGCTGCGACTGGGGGTGTTGGGACTGGGGGTGCTGAGCTTGGTGGCGCTCCCTCTTCAAAGCAGCTGCGTGAGTGGTACTCTCATCGCTACAGCCTACGTCGTGGGGCTGCTGGAGTCGGGGCTGGTGGCCTCGTAGGTGCAGTGCCGCAGCCGGAGCCTCCCTCCCCTCAGCGGCTACGTGAGTGGTACGCTCGGCGCTGCAGCATCAAGAGTGGAGCTTCTAGCGTTGAGGTACCGCCAGCTGGACGCCCTGCTACTGGAGGTACTGCTGACACGGGTGCTACTGGAGGTGTTGCTCGTGCTACTGGAGGTCCTGGAGGTACTGCTGGTACTGTTGGAGATCTTGGAGCGGCTGGAGGTGCTGCTAGTACTGGTGGAGTGTCTGGAGCTGCTGGAGGTGCTGCCGGTGCTGGTGGAGGCTCTGGAGCTGCTGGAGGTACTGCTGGTGCTGTTGGAGGTGCTGCTGGTGCTAGTTTGGCTGGTGGTTCTGGTGCTGACTCTGCTGCTTCCGTGGGCGCTTCACGGCCGCGGCCGTACTTCGTTCCGCTCCTTCAGCAGGTTCTTGGTCAGCTGCCTCCTCCTAGTCCTCCTCCCTCCTTAGCGTGTCCTCCGCCTGTACAGTCGCAGTCCCAGCTCCCGCCTGCCTTGCCACTTCCTGGTCCTTCTCCCTACGCTGGTCCGACAGGCAGTCTTACAGAGCGTCATGAGCCTGAGTCTCGTCCTGTGTCGCCTGTGTCGCGTCCTGTGTCACCTGTTCGTGCTGCTCGCACTGGTCGTCGTGGTCAGCGTGATCGTCCTCCACCTGTGCTTGGCACACACTATATGACTCTTCGTCCTTCCACTGCTCCACAGCGCGTCCCTCTGCCGTCTCCTCCTGAGTCCTCTCTTCCTGTCCTTGCTGACCCGGAGTCTCACTCTCATCGTGCTGCCAGTCCTACTGTCACGCGTCTCCTGGCCAGGAATAGACAACCG